AAGGAAAAAATTAATAATTCTACTACTTTAAAATTAGGAACTTTTATTCATCAAAAGATTCTAGAAAAAGAGTGAAAAGCCAAGCCACACAGCAAAAGATATCTGAAACACAAATATAGTAACTACAATATATTTTTAAAAAACCGATCTAATCAGTAAGAGAAAAATTAACAAATCAATAGAAAAATAAGCCAAAGACATGAACAGGAATCTACAAAAGAAAAGTTCTAAACAGCCAATAAATATATATTAAAAAAAAAATCCCAAACTCATTAGTAATCAAGGAGATGGAAATAAAATTCCAATGACAGATACAAACCCACGAGATTCGCAAAACTTTTAAAATCTGCACTCAAGGATGTGGTGCAAACAAATTCTCATATACTATTGATAGGGGTGTACATGGGTACAACTACTTTGGAACACAGCTTGACATTATCTAGTAAAATCAAGGATACACATATCTTCTGACCTGGCACTTTTATTCTTAGATAGATATCCCACAGAACCTCATGCTCAGGTATAGGAGTAAACATGTCAAGTGACATTTATCGCATCATTATTTTTAACAGCCAAATTAGAAATGACCCAAATTTTAACCAAGAATATACTGAAAGTTAATAACCAAGAGTTAATTTTGATATATTCAAACAATGGAATTCTTGCAAAAATGAATGAACTAGAGCTACCAATATGGACTCTCACAACTATAATAATGAATGCAACGAGCATGACACAAAAAAATACATACAATATGATGTCACTCACCTAAATTCTAAAATGGGCAAAATTAAACAATATTTTCTGAAATGTATACATAGGTCATAAGATATATTCATTGGGTGTTTCTGGAGTTCTGTCACATGTTCTGTTTCTTGTCATGGGTGGTTATTCATCAAACTATACATATGTTTAATGCACTTTCCTGTAAATTTCACTATAAATTTTTAAAAATCATGTGGCTGATTTTCTAAATGTTAGCAATACTCCCTAAATGAAAATTCTGTAAATAATTAGGATTCCCCTAATGCTCCCTGTAAGGACCCAGAGCAAATCTGGAACCTGATGTTTGTATTCTTCTCCTTTCAACTGAAGAAGTTTAAGTTGGCCCAGTGTGGTAGAACAAGAAGTGAAGAAGAGATGGCAATCCATATAAAAAATTAGACTAAGAGATACCAAAATTATTAAATGAGTCTGGCATCAATTAGAGATCAAAGGGATTATTCTATGTCTAAAGTATTAAATATGTTAATCTAATTTTTAAATTAAGTAATTTCTTGGGCATGCCTTAAAATTATCCAGCAAAGAAGAGAAAAGTTACCCAGCAATGGCTATACCTGTAGCTGAAAGAGGCAAGGGAGAATGGGAGGTGAGGAAGTATAGATAAGTCACGGCTATCAAGGAGAGCAGAGTAACAGAATGGAAAATGTAACATCAAGAACAATTTTTTTTTCATATGGAAGACATTACACTATGTGGTTGAGGAGGTAGTACAAGAATAAGTTAGTTGAAAAGTTAAAAAGTAGCTGTCAGGGCACCTGGATGTCTCAGTTGGTTGGGAGTCCAATACTTGGTATTGGCTCAGGTCATGATCTGGTGGTGGCGGGATCGAGCCCAGCCCCATTTGGGCTCCAGACTCAGGAGGGAGTTTGCTTGAGATTCTCCCTCTCCCTCTGCTCCTCTCCCTGCTCGCATGCTCTCTCTCTAAAATAAATAAATAACCCATTAGAAAAAAAGTAGCTGTCAAAGAGAGTGAATGTTTGAAACAGATTTGGGGCTGGTTAATTACAAGGTTTATGTATCACCTAGGGGAGTGAATAAGTGAAGTAATTTGGAGGAGAAAGATCATTTGAAATGAGGTTAAGGAATTGAGAATTAAGATGTATTATTTCTTTTAAGATTTTATTTATTTGTCAGAGAGCGAGCGAGAGTGCACACATAAGAGGGGGGAGTGGCAGGCAGAGCAGGCAGAGGGAGAAGCAGGCTCCCCACTGAGCAAGGAGCCCAATGCAGGACTCAATCCCAGGATCCTGGGATCATGACCTGGGCTGAAGGCAGACACTTAACCAACTGAGCCACCCAGGCATCCCAAGATATATTATTGTAAGGATGCAGAAGTCACCAACAATGATAACAGGTGTAGTGGAGAAGAGAAAGTCAGTGGGCCAAGATTTCTGATCTTCAGTCTATTCAAGGAGAGGAAATTGGTAAATGATATGACAAGAGCACATAGTGGGCGGTTCAGTCTCTGAAGTGCTTTAAAGGAGCTGGGGACTTTGGTAATGGGAAATAATGGACTGTGGGATAAGACAAAGCAAGAACCATTATCAAGTACTCTAAGAAAAATTTGTATATTCATGGCACAGCTAAAGTGTTCACTTAAAGCCAAAAGGTGAAAGGAGTAGTCAGAGAGTCTAAAGATAATATGAGATATTTCTTAAAAAGTTTCAAACAGTATGATGGAAGAGATTTGGGTGTTATGAAAGAGTGGGGAATTAAGTCTGACTGGAAATATATGGTGAAAGAGTTCAGCTGCTGATTGGTGCTCTGGAAAGCTTGGACTTCCGGACCTGAGTGAGGTAACTGAAGGTGTAAGACAAACAGGAATTGGTCCTAAAAAACCTCTTAGGGGAATTTGGGTAATTTTGTTAATGGGAATTGGTCTCTAAGAAAACAGTAAGAAAAATACTGCCATGTTAGAACAGGAAGTGATCTTGTTTCCCTTAAATTCTGCTGGAGGCCTGTCAGGGGCTGGTCTTACCAAGAGCACACAAGATTTTGAAGGCTCACTTAAATCAGAGGCACACTGAGCTCTGCAGATCTCCTTTACAGATGTGTTGCAGCCAAAAAGTGTGACAGTCTTACTATTATAAAATTATAGCTTGGAAATGACTGTAAGAAAACCTAAAAGATCATTACTGAGAATTTGATCAGGAAAGAATTCTCAGGATATAATGATATATAGGCTGAGACCTAAAGAAGCACAGCAGTTAGTGAGGTGAGTAGGGCATTCCGGGCAGAGTGAGTGACATAAGAGGGTGGAGCACAGGTACTAGATATGCAGGTACTAGATGTATCTGAGATAATGAATGAAGGCTCCTGTGGCTGGAGTCCAATGAGAAAGGGGAGAGGTATCTAAGGTAGGGTTATAAAAACCTTCAGAAGCCAGGTTAGGTAAGGCTTTCTAGTTTTGATTTTATCATTGTGTGATCTGATTTATATTTTTTAAAAATATTACTCTGGCTACTGTGTCAAAACCAGTTAGAAGGGTACTGCAGTAGCCCAGATCAGAGGGAGTATAGGCTTAAAGGGTTGCTAGTGGATGTGAAAGCACACAGAATCAAGAGATATTTCGTTAGAAGTCATTAGGAAAAACTTGATTGTATGGTAGTCACAGCATAGAGTGGCCCCTAAAATGTTTGCTAGCTTTCTGACTAGAGCTATTCATAAGGGTCTAGTTTGAAATCTGTCTACACTTCAAAATGCAGCACTATAGTTATCCCATTTGTACTAATTTTTCTTCCATAAAATTTCTCTTATTGAGAACTTAGAATAATGCAATTGCATTCAATATTCCAAATCTTCTCAACCATCTTATCAGTTAGGTGTTCTTTTCCTTTTAAACTATGAGGAAATGGGACAAGGGAGTCAAGCCAGGTAAAGTAATTTGCTTGAGACAAAAGCTGCCACTAAAGCTCTGGTCTAAGTGATTCCAGTTCTTCCAATCATCCCCTATACTGTAATACTATATGACCTCCCATTTCCCTCTCTTCCCTTCTATCTGAACCAATGCACAGCTTTCTTTTCCCTCATTACCAAATCCAGTGATCAATTCTCAGTCCTCAACTTACTCACGTTCCCTGATAAGAAAGAAGCCTGCCCCCCCCTTTTTTTTTGAGATTTTTTTTTTTTTTTTATGTTATGTTAGTCACCATACGTCATCAGACGCTGCCCTTCTTAAATATTTTTCCACTTGGCTTCTGAGATACAACCATTTTCTTTATTTTCCTATTAGCTCACTAGCTATTCCTTCTCAGTCTCCTTTGCTGGAACTTCCCCTTCTTTCTAACTAAAATACAGACTGCAGTAGGGTCCTTCTCTTTTTAAACTATTACATAACTTCATAAATTATTTCTTCCAAGTCTAAGGTTTTAAATTCTACTTACATGTATATTATTTCTTTCCAGGTTCTTTCTTGATTTCTTCCTAGTTCTAATAGATAATCCTCAAGTATCATGAACAAAACAGAATTCGTGAACACCTGTCTTTCCCAACTAAGAAAAAGATGTCCAATTGCTCAGGCATAAATCTAGTAAGTTATCCTGGATTTCTCTTTCATCACACACCACTTCCCACTAATCAGCAAGAGGCACCACCTTTAAAATCTGATCAGAATCTGACCCCTTCATGTCACCTTCACTTACTACTGCCCTCAACTAAGACACCATAATTTCTAATCTGGACTAAAAAATCGCTTTCCAACTGGTCTTTCTGTTTCACTCTTGCTCCCATTTTATTTTCTATACAGTATCCAGAGTAGTCTTTGAAAATACCAAGTTTAATCATGTCAGTCTCCTGCTTGATATCAGCCAATCATTATTGTAGTTTCAACGTAATCCCAGTTCTTTGTCATGGCATACAGGTCCCTACGTGACCTGGCCCCACCTCCTCTCTGACCTCATTTTCAACTTTTATTCTCCCTAACTGGATGAAAAATATAGGTAAAATTGTTATCACTGGAGGAGGGCTATTCCATTTGAAAAGACAGGGGAATGTGAAAGAAAAGCAAAGAAGTGGTAATTGGGGTGAAGAAGGGGTTTCCTTTGGTAACTGATGCTAAAACCATTTTGCCTTCCAGTATTCAAGCTTCTACTCCACAGGCCTTGGTTTGATCTTTGAAGAGACCTTCTCAGCTAATATCTCAAAGTTGTAGCCAACAAATTAAGTGATTTGACTGTTCTCAACAATGGCCTCCCCTTGCTTGACCATCTCTGACTCACCTGAACTCTGACTTCTTGTCACATCCTGCACAACCTTCCAGGGCTCTTTCCCTTGCTTCAATAAGGAAAGCACATCTGCTCTAGAAATGGAAAATCCTGCTTAAAAGAATGGAAAAAGATATGATTATACTCTGCTTGCCCAGAATTAAAATTGAGTCCACCGTTCATCAAGTAAGAAGGTCAATCACAGAAAGACTGGGGGGGGCGGGCACCTGGGTGGCTCAAGGTTAAGCGTCAGCCTTGGGCTGCAGTCATGATCTCAGGGTCCTGGGATTGAGCCCTGCATTGGGCTCCTTACTCAGTGGGGAGTCTGCTACTCCCTCTCCCTCTCCCTCTGCCCCTCCCCCACCTCGTGCACTCACATGCTCTCTCTCTCTCTGTTACTCTCTCATTCTCAGATAAATAAATAATATTTTTAAAAAGATTTAGATGAAGGATATGTGAAGAACAGAGAAGATAAAGGTACTCAGTGGAACTGTCCATTTTAAAGTCTATAAGCCACAAATAACTTAGTTGGGACTAGGGTTCTGAAATTCAGCTAGGTACTTAAAATATTTCCCAAATTTCACAAAGACTATAGTCGAATTATTGGGACCAGACAAACTTACCCAGTGAGACCAGGTTGCTATAGTTTTCCAACATCACATCTCTGTACAAATCTTTCTGTTCCAAGTCCAGGCACTCCCACTCCTCCTGAGAGAAGTCTACGGCCACATCCTTGAACAACACCAACCTCTGAAATGACAAGCCCAAGTGTTAAAGTCAAAATAAAGGAATATTTTTCAGAAGTAATGAAAGGAGCGTGCACACACACACACACACACACACACACACACACACACACACAGTAATAAGAGGAGGAGAAAAGTATTACATAAAGGGGCCAAAACAGTGAACAAATATGTTGAAGCTAACATGGGTAGGTAATGTGGGTAGGTAATAGAAGGGAAGTGAATGAGGAAATACAGAGCACCTAAACAATTCCTCAACATTCCTATTACTCTATCACATAGCCTCTTGGGAACAGCAATGGGAATGAACAAAAGCCAGGTAAGTGTACTTTTGTGATTAAATGAAATAATGTGTACTAGCATATAACACATGCAAATCCTCAAATAAATTGAAAGTTCCTTCTTCCCGTCTCCCTTTAAAGAACTGAAAAGAGAAAGAAAAGGAGGGAAGGAAAAAAAGGAGGTCTGGAAGGCGAAAGGGAAGAAGAGAAAAGAAAAAATAAACCTGATGGGCATATTCCAAAATGTCATTTAAAATGTTTATCTTAGAAAATTAAGATTTACACATGATTTCAGAAGTTCTTTCCAAGTTAAGTCTCAGAATAATTTAGTAATAATATTCTTTCTTCCTAGTCCTGGCAAATCCTTTCACAGATATCATTTTTCAAAGCTACATAATATTCCATATTATGATTGTAATCATTTTATTTTGCAGTACTTTGCACTCCTCCTCTAACATCCTTCACAGCTCTGTTTCTAAAATCCTCAACTATTTAATCATCTGGCTGATCATATTACCACTTACCATTGCTCACTGTGCTTCTGCTTATTATGAGCAACAGAAAGCTAATGAAAGATGAGCTACCCTCACACAGATGTGGCCCTTGACCTATTCATACTATTCAAATTCAAAATGGACCTTGTCTCTGTATTAATTCCTGACACAATTCTCTATCTCTCTGTTCTCAATCCTGCATTTGATCACATTTCCAATCTTAAAAGCTTCATAGAGCAGATCTCACCACATTCTGAGACTAACACCAATTTCCATCTTAATCCATGAGAAAATCCAGGTTAATGAGAAAGGCCAAGTTTTTCACGTGTAATACCATCTCATCAAACCACATTCTGACAGGAGAGGTCACTCAAACACAATTCTTGATTTACAAATGGATCCCTAAAACATTGTTAGAGAAGAGAAGGAGGGCAGTTGAGAAAGACCTGGGACTCATTCCCATCATTCACTAGAATGAGAGTGAGCAGGAGAGCAAACACTTGGTGAAGCAGAAAATCTAGAGATGAGAATACTGAATATTCGTATCCTAGAAAACAATGACTGTGGGTGCCTGGGTGGCTCAGTTGGTTAAATGACTGCCTTCAGCTCAGGTCAGGATCCTGGAGTCCTGGGACTGAGTCCTGCAGGGAGTCTGCTTCTCCATCTGACCCTCCCCCCCTCATGCTCTCTCTGTCTCATTCTTTCTCTCTCAAATAAATAAACAAAATCTTAAAAAAAAAAAAAAGAAAACAATGACTGTTTGATATAAAGAGGAAGAAGAAACATGAACTCACACAAGGCATGGCTTAGAATTGCAACTTATGAGTCCTCCTCTGGCTTCTCCTCATGGAGAAGTGCAGTCCTGAGAAGACAGGGAAGAAAAAGGAAACCATGAAAAGAGGCCTACTTCTAAATGACTTAAGTATTTCCTCCCCTTTTCATGGTGCCTGGACCCTTCCACACCCAAAAATATATACTGAGATCTGCAGAAGCCTAAACAATCTCACCCCTTCCCCAATTCCAGAAAACAGAGATGTAGAAGAATTACTTTATGCTAAAGCAGTACCCAATCCCCATCATGTTGTTAGGGTTCCCTGACCTGGCCTTAGCAGTTCATCTTTTATAACCTAGGGGACCCTGATCCAGATTTATCCAAGTGGTTCCCACCTCAAGGACACTGATGGGGCCTTCAGGCTTTGAAATCATCTGTTATCTATGTAGGCCAATTCCTAGGAAAAACACTTTCCATGACTAAGATCTCAACACACTATTTACCTCAAGTGCTTCCCTGGTTCATTCTCACATTCCAGTGCAAGAAAGCATGCTGAATGCAAAGCACAGGCTTCATCTAGGCCACATAAAGTCTCACTACACTCACCCAGTAACCAAGGAACAAACCCAAACACTCTCTAACAGAAAACAACTGCCTATTGCATTGAATCATGGCCTTAGCTGAATTCAGGAACTCTGGAGGCAGTACCTCCCTATAATACTGCTTAACATCATTCTGTCTCTAAACGTCAGGCTAAAGATGGTTTAAGACAGTGGCTGTACAAGAAATAATTTCCACCGAGCACATACTATGTGCTCGATGCCTTATACACATTAACATTTAATTGATGAGCAAACAGGTCTGTGAATTTAACCACCACCACCATTTTCCACTCCATCAGCTCTAGCATCTTCCTTTTATTTCTTTTTCTAACAGCTTTGCTGACATATAATTCACATTTCATAAATTCATACTCTTTAAAATACAAGTGAATGGTTTTTAACAAATTGAAAGAGATGTGCAACCATCACCACTAATTTTAGAATATTTTCATTATCCAAAAATAAAACCCATAGGCATTAGCAATTTCATTCTCATTTCCCCAGATCCTGGCAACCACTAATCTACTCTTTGTATCTATAGATCTACCTATTCTAGATAGACATTTTGTATAAATGAAACTACAATTTGTGTCTTTTGTGACTAGCTTCTTTCACATACTATAATGTTTCAAGGTTCATCTATGTTTCAGCATGGACCAGAACTTCATGCCTATATATTGCCAAATAACATTCTGATGTATGGATAGAGCATCTTTTTGCCCCATTCATTAGTTGATGGATATTTGCATTGTTTACATCTTTTGTTACTATAAATAACGCTACTAAGAACATTTAGCTACATATTTTCGTGTGGACATATATTTCTTTTCTCTTAGCTATACCTAGAAATGAATTTGTGGGGTGATATGGTAACTCTGTTTAACATTTTCAGGGACTGCCAAATTCTGTTCCAAAGCAGCTGCATCATCTTACAATTCCAGCAAAAATCTGTCAAAGTTCCAGTTATTCCACATCTTCACCACCTTTTGGGGTTATAGTCATTCTTGTGAATTTGAAGTGGTATGTCACTGTGATTTTGATTTACACTTCCCTGATGATACTGACCATTTCTATCCCTTCTTTGGAAAAATATGTTTTCAAATTATTTGCTCATTTTAAAAACCTGGTTGTCTTTTTATTGTTGCCTTGTAATAATTCCTCATATATTCTAAAATAGAATTCCTTTATTGAACATACAATTTGCACATTTTGGTCCCATTTTGTGGGCTATATTCTCCCTTATTTCATGGTGTCTTTTGAAGCTCAAAAGTTTTTAAATTTGCTAAAATCCTACTTATATAATTTTTGTTCCTTTGGTTGCTTGTGCTTTTGGTGTCATATAAAAGAAACCATTATCTAACCTAGGTAATGGAGATCTCCTTTGTTTCCTTCTAAGAGTTTTAAGGTTTTAGCTTTTTTCTTCCTCAAGTTTTTATTTAAATTCCAGTTAGTTAACATACAGTGTAATATGTTTCAGGTACAGAATTTAGTAATTCATAACTTACATACAATACCCAGTGCTCATCACAAGTGCCCTCCTTAATACCCATCACCCATTTAACCCATCCCCTCACCTACCTTCCCTCCAGTAACCATCAGTTCGTTCTCTATAGCGAACAATGTTTTCTAGTTAGCCGCTCTTTTTCATTTTTCCCCCCATGTTCATCTGTTTTGTTTCTTAAATTCCACGTAAGAGTGAAATCATATGGTATTTGTCTTTCTCTGACTTATCTCAATTAGCCTAATACTATTTAGCTTCATCCTTGTTGTTGCAAATGGCAAGATTTCATTCATTTTCATGAATGAGAAATATCCCATTGGATATATAAACTACATCTTCTTTATCCATTCATCAATCAATGGACATTTGGGCTCTTTCCCTAATTTGGTTATTGTTGATAATGCTGTTATAAAGAGCGGGATGCATGCATCCCTTTCTTTGAATCAGTGTTTTTGTATCCTTTGGGTAAATACCTAATAATGCAATTGCTGCGTCATAGAGTAGCTCTATTTTTAACTTTTGAGGAATCTCCATATTCCAGAGTGGCTAAACCAGTTTGCATTCCCACCAACAATGTAAGAGGGTTCCCCTTTTTTCACATCCTTGCCCAACACCAATTGTTTCTTGTGTTGTTGATTTTAGACATTCCAACTGGTGTGAGGTGATATCTCATTGTAGTTTTGGTTTGTATTTCCCTGATGATGAGTGATGTTGAGCATCTTTTCATGTGTCTATTAGCCATCTGCATGTCTTCTTTGGAAAAATGACTATTCATGTCTTCTGCCCATTTCTTAACTGGATTATTTGTTTTTTGGGTGTTGAGTTTGATAAGGTCTTCATAGATTTTGGATACTAACCCTTTATCACATATGTCATTTGCAAATATCTTCTCCTGTTCCATAAGCTGCCTTTTACTTTTGCTGATTGTTTCCTTTGCTGTGTAGAAGGTTTATTTTGATGAAGTCTCAATAGTTCATTTATGCTTTTGTTTCCTTTGCCTCAGGAAACATATCTAGTAAGAAACTGCTACAGCCAATGTCCAAAAGGTTACTGTCTGTGTTCTCCTCTAGGATTTTGATGGATTCTTGTCTCACATTTAGGTCTTTCATCCATTTTGAATTTATCTGTGTGTATAGTGCAAGAAAATGGTCCAGTTTCATTCTTTTGCATGTGGCTGTCCAATTTTCCCAACACCATTTGTTGAAGGGACTGTCTTTTTTCCATTGCATATTCTTTCCTGCTTTGGCGACAATTAGTTGACCATAGTGTTGAGGGTCCTTTTCTGGGTTCTCTATTCTGTTCCATTGGTCTATGTGTCTGTTTTTGTGCCAGTACCATGCTGCCTTGATGATTACAGCTTTGTAATACAGCTTGAAGTCTGGAATTGTGATGCCTCCAGATTTGATTTTCTTTTTCAGCATTACTTTGGCTATTTGGGGTCTTTTCTGGTTCCATACAAATTTTAGGATTGTTTCTTCTAGCTTTGTGAAAAATGCTGATGATATTTTAATAGGGATTGTATTAAATATGTAGATTGCTTTGGGTAAAATAGATATTTTAACACTATTTGTTCTTTCAATCCATGAGCAAAATGTTTTTCCATCTATTTGTATCTTCCTCAATTTCTTTCATAAGTGTCCTATAGTTTTCAGAGTATAGATCTTTTACCTCTTTGGTTAGGTTAGGCTTATTTCTAGGTGTCTTATGGTTTTTGGTGCAGTTGTAAAGGGGATTGATTCCTTGATTTCTCTTTCTGCTGCTTCACTGTTAGTGTATAGAAATGCAACAGACTTCTGTGTGTTGATTTTATATCCTGCAATTTTGCTGAATTCCTTTATCAGTTCTATCAATTTTTTGGTGGAGTCTTTTGGGTTTTCTACATAGAGTACCATGTCATCTGCAAAGGGTGAAAATTTGACTTTTTTTTTTGCCAATGTGGATGCTTTATACTTCTTTTTGTTGTCTGACTGCTTTGCATATATTTTTTTCCTACTATTTTCTGTTAAATTTTTTAAGTCTTAGATTTTTTTCTGTACCAGCATAAACATGTATCATTAAAGAAGGATGTGAGATTTGGGATAACTTCATAGAAATCCCAGTTCAAGGGCATTTTCTTCTTTGACACTGTGATGTGCAATGTTCCTAGTAATAGACTCTTTTTTGGGAGTAGGATTTTGTAAGAGTTTTGACTAATTACAAAGTTAGAGAGCACAATCCCTCCGAGACTACCCTCAACTCTGACACGAACTATAAGCTCCCCAAACCAACTAAGGCCAATTGAGAGTTTAAAACTACTCTCAAGTTCAAAATTCAGGATTCATAGCTATTCACTGAAAGCTATTATGCTCACAGTTACATAGGAAGTTATTATATGAAAAAAGATACAGATTAAAATCAATTTATAGAAGAAACACATAGGGCAAATTTCAGGAGAAATACCAAACATGGAGCTTCCATGTCTTTTTCCATGCAGTCAGGATGTGTTACTCTCCTGACATCAATGTGTGATGAAACGCATGGAGTACTGCCATCCACAGAAAGTCACCTGAGCCTCAATTTTTGAGTTTTTATGAGTGCTCCAGATGTGGGGATGGCTCATTAATTGACTATGTCATTGATCTGTCTCCAGGTCAATTGATATCCTGTGATCCAAAGCCCCCACTCTTGGTCACATTGTTGTCCTTTCTCACATGGCCAACCATTACCCTAACACTATACAGGTGTGCCCAGTCCCTACCCTACATCACATTGTTAGATTATACTGTGTGACCTAAGGCTTCCAAGGAAACAAAGACTCAGGCATCATATTCCAAGGGCCCAGAGATTATCTCCCAAAAGTACTAAAATGACCAGACCTCTCTTTGGCAAGGCCAAACTCTTGGCTACATAAATTCTGTCACTTCTGAATCTGTGACATTCTTTTGGTTCTGAAAAGCATTTAGTTTCCAACACTTGATTCCTTTTTTCCTTTCACTATCATCCTTGAA